CTTTGGGCCTGTGGTAAGACAACACATTATGGTATGAGTAGGCAGGGGAATCAAACTGCCTACCTCATGATCAATGTTCTAGGTTCATTATTGTTGTTGTGATAAAATACCCTGACCCTGCCCCCCCCAAAAAAAACTTAAGGGAAAAGTTTTACTTGGCTTAAAAGTCCAGGCTACAGTCCATCACTGTGTGGGAAGTCAAGGTAGGAACTCAGGGAAGCTGGTTATATCACATCTACAGTCAATGACAGAGAGAAATGCATACACACATGCTCACCTGCCCTCAGCTTGACTTCTTTCTTCCAGAACCCTCTGCTTAGGGAATGGTGCCACAGTGGGCTGGGTTGTCGCACATCAATTAACTTAATTAAAACAATCCCACAAAGACATACCCACAGGCCAACCCAATATAGACACTGAGACTTTCTTCCCAAGTAATTCTAAATTGTACCAAGTAGACAAGTACGCTAACCACCATAGCCAAGGAGCAAAGATCAAACGAGGAGAGATCAGGGTTCCCACAACCCCCTTCAAGGGTATGTCCCCAGTGACCTAAAGAACACTCACTAGTCCCTACATTTTAAAGGTTTCTACAATTCCCATTAATGCTGCATGGGGACAAAGCCTTCAACACACCAAACTTCAGGGGATAGTTATGCAAATCACAGCCCCTGTTTTCTCTAACATGCAAGCTTTAATCCCCACCAAAACATCCTAACCACCCATGTGTATAAAGGTACTTTTTCTGGTTTTGTAACCAAACAGCTGAGAAGAAGCAACTTACGGGAAGCAAGGTTGATTTGAGCTCTTGGTTTCGAGTCAGAGTTTGTTATGGTGGGGAAGGCACAGGGACAGGAGAGAGCCACAGCTGTAGTGGTGGGAACTTGATCTCCTCTGGGCAGATCAAGAAACAGAGATAAGGGATTGCCAATGTTCAGTTTTCTGTCTCATTTTCTGCCCTTTTGTTTAGTCCAGGAGCTCAGGCTATCGTTTGGTGCCATACATATTCAAGACAAGTGGTATTCACATAGTTAATCCTCTGTGGAAAAGCATCCACAAAAACTCTTAATAGTGTGCCTTATTACAGGAAGTTGGGAGGGATGCAGAGGTGGTGGGGGATCTGAGAGCAGTTAGGGAGAGGAGTAGGGGATGCATATGATCAAAATACATTGTATGGTACGTGTGTATCAATCCTCAAAGAATTAATAAAATTATTTTTTTAATGTGTCTCACGGGACTGGAAAGATGGCTCCGCAGTTAAGAGCACTCACTGCTCTTGCAGAGGATCAGGTTCAGTTCCCAGCACCCACAAGGTGGCTAACAACCATCTGTAACTCCAGTTCTGGGGGATCCAATGCCTTCTTCTGGCCTCAGCTCTGTGTGCACTGCAAGCATGTGGTGTGCTTACTTACATGCAGGAAAAACACACATAAAATAAAAATAAAATGTTAAAAAATAATTTAAAAAATGTGCCTCATTATTGTCCTAGGTGTTTCTGAATCTATTAGGTAGACAATCAAAATTAAGCCTCACTTACCATCCAGCTAGTCCTTTGCCAGACGGTTTCTTTGATGCCACCCCCAGGCCTGTAGAACTCTGTACAGACTGGCTTCATAGTCTAGCAACAGCAGGTAGGGATGCAAACACCTGAGGAAGGCAGCCTTCTGGGAACACTGGAGCATGTCCTTTACTGTGGGTAGAATAGAATGCCTGTGTGAATTAAGAACGTATACCCATTGCCTCACACTCTCAGGAGAGCTATGTGCCTCGTGTTTTGAATTAAAAACAATTTTTAGCATTTATTTCTTTAGTGTGTATGTATACATGCACACATGAGCAGGCATGTAAGAGCATGCGTGTGTAGGTGAGAGGACAGTTTGTGGGAGTCAGTTTTCTAGTTTCACCATGCAATACATAGATCCATGTCCCTAGTATCAAACTCAGGTTGTCAGCAGTGGCAGGTATCCCTTTACCTGCTGAGCCATCTTAGCACAGGAGATTGAATAGCAGGTAGCTCACCTGATGTGTGATGAGAGAGATGACGCAGGGATAGTTATCTAGAAAAAAAAAATTGCATGGGTAGTCATGCAAAGTCCCATGCATAGAATTTTAAATTTTTTATAAGATAAGAAAAAACAAAGTTAGCTTCAGGTTCATTTAGGTTGAGTTTTTGCCATGAAATAAGTTACTTAAAATTGTTTTGATCTTTTGAACTTTTCATGTAGTTGAAGAAGGAAGTTTGTGTCCCACTTAATGTCTTCCTGTTTTGTGTCAAGCATTATACTACCTTGAGTACTCCACAGGTGTTGCTTTATTTAATTGTGTCTTCAGTATCTTAGGTAGACTTCTGAACTCCATTTGTAGGTGAGAGAACTGAATTTCAATTAAAACCTGTCCAACACTCTACAACTAGCACACAGCAAAGATGTGAACCTTAAGATTATTAAAAATAATTTTGTCTGCCTCAAAAATTATTGCTCCTAACCAGTGTACCATATTGCTTACCTGTGTTTGTTTGAGATCATACAGCCCTGACCACACAACGTGATACAGTAAGCAAGCCTGGCCTACAAGTCATGAAGCCTAGGAGCTAGCGCAGATTCTGGCTCTTAGCGTTTGACCTCTTTGAGCTTCCAGATCCTCATATATAAAATGAAGTTAGCAAAACACCACTTGCTAGAAGGATTAAATAAGAATTAAAGCATAAATCTGATATGGGAACATATTGTGATCACGCTGTATGTGCAGAGGAAGATGATATAATGGCAATGGTGGTGATGACATGAGTTGTGATTATTGCTTGTGCCTCAGAAAAATCTTTTTTAAAAAAATTTTATTATTTGTATTTTATGTGTATGCATGTATTGCCTGCATGTGGCTGAGTGCACCCACGTCGTGCAATGCCCGTGGAGGTCAGCAGAGGCTGTTGAATCTCCTGGGACTGTAGTTACGGACAGTTGTTAGCTGCCATGTGGCTGCTGGGATTCGAACCCAGGTCTTCTGCAAGAACAACCAGTGTTCTTAACTGCTGAGCCATCTCTCCAGCCCCTGTGCCTCAGAAAAATCTTAAGCTCTCAGTAATTGTTCTCTTGGAAAACAACTGGGGAGATATTTCATCTTCCTTGAGCAGCTTTGCACTGGAACAGCAAGGCAGATATGGAATGCTGAAATGACAGAGGAAAATGGATTAACCTGTTAGCAGAAACTGTGCTGGGCCATTGAATTTGGGAAGGCAGAGGTGTCAGTTCTATATGTACGTATTTTTCTGAATATTCCATTTGCACATTATGGTCAAATAAATAATTATACAAATGGAAAATATTCATATGTACACCTCCATAGAGACACACACAGATACACAGACACAGATAGACAAAAAGACAAACAACAGAGATAGAGTTAGAGAGAGAAGAGGGAGAGAGGGAGAGATAGAGATAGATAGAGAGAGAGAGAGAGAGAGAGAGAGAGAGAGAGGCAGCAGCAGGAAAGACAGACTTTGAATCCCCTAAACTTGAGAGACTGTGTTCCTTAGGTGAAGTTACTGTCTCTGGTGCAGAGTTGATGACAATTCTGTGGTTTTTCTTCAAAATATCTCCTGTCTGATTTCTCCTTACCTTGCTCTTTAGACTTTAGAATTTCTTTGTGCTAGTAAAAGACATCTGATGAATGAGAAGGAGAAATGGTTTTGTGGTGTGTATGGTGTGTTACACAGGCCATAAGACAGAGGCCTTGCTGGGCAGTGAGGATTCATATGGAAAGAGAGGCTGGGTGATTCTCTGATTTGAGATGAGGTTTGAATCAAGTCAGAGAGAGAGACACATGAAAAGCCAAGGCCAAGTGAGGTGGGGTTACTAACAGTAAGAAGTTAGTATGGGAGACTCTACACTGAACAGAATAGGCTGCGTCTAAATCTACAAGGGGCGGATAGTATCAAGGGTGGGAATTTCATACAAAGAGGAAAGGGTGACACAATATAGATATATTGATGGGAACAACATACCTGAATCTTGAATAGAAAGGAAAGCTATGTAGCCCCATATACTTGCAAAGCTAAGAAAGACATAAAAGTTCGTTAAAGTTCATTTTGAAATTGAGCTCTTCCACTTAACTCATTGTGCAGCAGGGAAGAAGCCGCCCACCTAACAATAAAAGTCTTAGATTGTAGAGTCTTCATGAGATGTGTAACAAATGAGAAGATGTGCCTAGAAGTGTTCATGTTTCATAAATGATGGTAATAATGGGCTATCATCTTACTCTTTATCATATGAGGAAAGGAACTCTCTTTTACTCTAGATATAATCCCTCTGGAGGGCAGTGGAATAGATTTGGGCAGATGTGTGTGTCCCAGAGATAGGCAGTTAGTGTACTGGGTACTTTCTCATTGCTGTGACCAAATACCTGAAAAGAAACAAGTTAAGTGAAGAAGGGTTTATTTTGGCTCACCATTCAAAGCAATGGAGTCATGTCAGGAGGTGCTAGCAGTGGGCTGGCTGATACCCTTAATCATTGCACCATTAATCGAGAAGCAGAAAGAGATAAACTCTCTCTCCCTCCCTCTTTTCTTCTTCCTTTCTTTTTTCATTCACTGCAGTACCCTAGCCCCTGGCATGGTACTGTAAACATTTAGGATGAGTCTTCTAAACCACACACACACACACACACACACACACACACACACACACATACACACGCACGTACACACTTGCATGCATAGAGGTGGTCTCCTAGGTAATTCCAAATCCCATCAGGTAGACACGGAAGATTGACCATCACAATAAGTATGCAGTTTTGAAACTGCTTACATTGGCAGTGCTATACTAATTGATAATGCTATAGTAAATCCAGAACTAATTATTTTATTTTATACTAAAAGATAAGTTGATTGGTTCAGTTGTTAGACGTGAGCTCACCAAAATCCAAGAAAAGAGTTGGTGAGTCTTCTGATAACCACACAGGAAAAGGACTCAGCTGTCCACTTTTCCTTCCTTCTCTCCCAAAGTTCTAACCTAAGAGATAAACAAGAATTAAAACATTTGAATCTCATCTACTATTTTTTCTCTTGTCCATATTTGGGTGGCACATGTGAGGTCAACATACCTCTCACCTCACCATTCCTCACAGAATGTGATATTCAGGAAGATCCCAAGGGTCTTGGCCCTGGACAAATGCTTAAAGGTAAGAGATGTTTTTCTCCCATCTCAACAAAGTGCTCCACTATCCAAGGGAACTAAAAAGTAGAGAAGATGCTTAGAGCAGGAAAAAAAAAAAAAAGAGTGAATATGTCCAGCAAATGAACTACTGTGATTCAGGCCACAAGGCATCTTTGCATGCATGACCCTGGTGGCTTCCCAAAGCAAAGATCAATAAATGCTTTGTCAGTTTTACCCATTTATTTTAATGAATAAATGAGATGATTTTATTTAAATGAAACATGATAGATAAAGCAACTAGCAGGATAACTAGCTCAAGATACATACTTAGAACATCATTGCTAGCAACATTGCTGCAGATAGTAATATCAATAATCATGTGGTAAAAACAACAAAGGGATGATAACCATAGTATAAATGTGAGAAGAGGCGCTTGAGAGATGGCTTGGTGGTTAAGACCACTGGCTGCTCTTGCAGAGGACCAGGGTTCGATTCCCAGCACCCACATGGCAGGTAACAACCATCCATAACTCCAATTTCTGGGGATCCAGCACCCTCTTCTGACCTCTGTGGGCACTGCATGGTATGGGTACACTTACGTGCATGCAAGCAATATACTCATACACATAAAATAAAAATAGTAAATAAAATATTAATAAATATGAGAAGAGACTCAGAAACCAAGTAAAGTTTGCTCTTTTGAGTAGGCTGGTACATGAACAGATTTGTGCTTAGGGAACTTGCCTTTTGTTATATAGATTCTATTTCTTCCCTAACTTCCCTTCATTCTCCCTTTAGTGCTTAACAAAATTCTCCTTGAAAACCAGAAATTATTCTAGGTGCTTCAAGAGGAAATGAAGAGAGGAAGACATGTTTTTGCCTGGACCAGACTCTATAATCAGAACAGATAATGCTAGAACTGGTTAGGATGGTGATATCAGGAACCCAAAGAGAAGCTAAGCTCACATCTCTTCATTATGGATTGAAGTGTGTCCCTCCAAAGGGTAAGTTGACATCTTAACCCCCAGTAAGTGTCTTTGTAAACATAATATAATGAAGATAAATCTATCATCATTATGGGTGAAGGAAAAGGAGACACGGAGACCATGAAGGAGAAAACACTGTGTGATGAAGGCGATAGGGAAATAGTTGTGGCCTATCACAAGCCAAAGAACACCTGGACTTTCAGAAACCTAGAAGAGATAAGGAAGGATCTTCCTCCAAATAGTTTGGAAAGAAGATGGCCGTGATTTTGATTTCTGACCTCCCAAACTGTGTTTCTGTTGTTTTAAGCCGTCTACTTTGTAATAATACTTCATTACAGCAAATGTAGGAAGCTGATACACTCCCCAAGGGGAATCTTCCATCTAGGGTTTGTAGGAACTTAGGAACTCTGCAAGATGATAGGATAGAACTCCCAGTCCTAGGATAGAACTCCTAGGATAGAACTCATGGTCAAATGAGCATCTCAGCATCCGGTCCTGTTTTCCTCTCTGGTTTTAACTCTTGGTTTCTGCCACCCTCTGCAAAGAGGGGAACCCAGGCTTCACTGTCTTTGCTCATGCAGCATTGAGAGAGGCTGTGTGATGAAGGACCCCCTCTGAAGGCTTCTTGAACTCACCTGTCTCTAATAGCTATCTCCTACATAGCTGTAATAGTGGCTTTTCTGTTTCTGGGACAAAATACCTGACAGAGATGACTTAAAAAAGAAAGGTTCACAGGGTGTGGTGGCACACGCCTTTAATCCCAGCACTCAGGAGGCAGAGGCAGAGGCAGGTGGATCTCTGTGAGTTCAAGGCCAGACTGGTTAGTGAGTTCCAGGCCAGCTGGGGCTACAGGGAGACCAAAAAGACCAAAAAAGTAAAAAGTGGGATCGTGCATGCACAGTACTTCAGCCCTCTTTCATAGGGGTTCCAGTTAGTTATGGTAAGGAAGGCATGGCTGGTGGAAGCCCCTCACATCACAATGGATCAAGAAGTATAGTAGGGTCAAAACCAGGGGCTGGCTAATAGATTTCAAAGCTCCACCCCTAGTAACTATTTCTGTCAGATCCTACCTCCCAAAGGACTCACTGCCTACTAAAATAGCGTTAAAATATGACTAGTTGGAAATCAAGCATTCAAAAAATTAGTCTGTTACCACAGAAATTGGGGTTCCTTTTTTTTTTTTTTTTTTATATTGTTTTTTAATCATTATTTTTTTAATTTTTTTTTCATACAGAAGAATTTATTCCAAGGCAATTGACATTGAGACGTTTTCAAATGCATTTCTAATCTCTATATACATGACTATCACTGGTCACAGTCGCCCACCTTCTGAGCTCCTCGGCATCTGAGCATGAATACAAACTCGTCAGATAGACAGCCTTCCTCTCCCACTAGAGGCTCCATACTCTGCCATCCCTGTCACTGTCCACTGTGTTGTCAGCCCCCTCATCCATTTCCCCCCGTCTACCCTTCTGGTAAATCTAGTCAGCCAGAGGTCCCTGTTCCAGGAGGGTCAGCTGTTCCTCATCTACGGCAATCCATTGTCAGTATTCCTTTGGATAGAATTGGGGTCTGCTGTTCATTTTTCCAGTAGTATGTTGGGTTACTGTCTGGAAGAGCCTTTATCTATCCTAGCCACCAACTCGACTGAAGGTATCGCCTGTCTGGCTTTGTTGTTTGTCGAGTAACTTTTAGTTATGTATATGTATGCTCTTATGATATTATGTTGGCCCCTTTAATCTTTGGTTATACTTCCCTTTTGGGTGTTTAAGGACATACAATTGGACCAGATAAACTGATTTGTTTTTACTCTTGAGGTCGTTAGAGGATTTGTTCCTCAGGGGTCCCATGGGGTTGGGAGGAGCCCCTGGCTCCTTTCTTTTACCAGCTCCATCCATGTGAGGATAAGTCAAAGGTCCTGCTCGACCATTGTTGGCTTCTCTTGGAAGCATGGAGGAAATGATTCCTCCATGTTGACCCTCCTCTTTATAGACTGGACACTGGCTCAAGTCCATCTGGTGGGGTCTCCTATGGGTGGTTTTGCTGATAAAAGAATTTAGATATTGTCTTGGAAGGAAACTTGAAGACAGTTTTATTAGAATTTGAGAGAAAAACAGAGCAGGCACACTGCCCAGAACAGGGAGATGGAGAAGAGGAAGACAGGAAGCTATGCCCTGTGCAATAGAGGCTGGTAAACAGTAAGGCAGAGGAGGTAGGAAGTAGAGCTTCAGTGGGTGGTTTTGCTGATAAAAGAATTTAGATATTGTCTTGGAAGGAAACTTGAAGACAGTTTTATTAGAATTTGAGAGAAAAACAGAGCAGGCACACTGCCCAGAACAGGGAGATGGAGAAGAGGAAGACAGGAAGCTATGCCCTGTGCAATAGAGGCTGGTAAACAGTAAGGCAGAGGAGGTAGGAAGTAGAGCTTCAGAAAGTGAAGGAAGGCTCAGACCACCAAAGAAAGCATGCCTAGGCTTTGGTCAGTATCTGAGAGAGATGAAGAGAAAAAAGAAGGAAAAGGAAAAGTTACACTTTTCTGAGTTCAGACTCAGAAAATCAGGAAGGCTACATGGCAGAGACGCTGCAGTGCTGTCTGATGGAAACTCAGTAAACAACGGCACCCAGGGAGAGTCTTCTGAGAAGAAAAAGTACATTATCTCATTATCTCCTCTCTTCTTATAATATCTTAAGGTGACTCAGATTTCCTGGGTGAAGGGGTGTGTGGACTCCTGTCCAGGTGTTTGACAGGCCCGGCTGGATCAACTATTAAAAGGAGGAAGCGATAGTATATAATGTATTGGGTATCTACAGAGCCAGAGGTAGAACTTGGATTCATTCTTTTGACCAGGAGGAAGTAACATTGCCTTAATGGGGCCTTGAGAAAGTGTATATGCCTCTACCTTTCCATATAGTAAATTTAAAGTCTAAGGAAGTAACAAAGCTCATGTTTCCCTTTGTAGTGTCACCAGGAAAATAGGAGGTGACGTTCAAAGCCTCTGTGGCCTCTAAGGCTACTGTAACATTTCCCCCCCTTGAGTTGAGACCCTAAAATCATTTAGAAACATGACCAGTGATCAGAGTCCCCAAGTATTTCTGGCATTTCTGGCCTCTAGCCTGGCTAGGATTAAGGATATTTCTGGATTCTGGCTAAGGACAAGAATCAAAGTTCCTATTTCTAATTATATGCCCAATTTTTATCTCCTGTCTTTATCATTTTCCCCTTTGAAGAGGTAACGCTAACTTCCATGGGGACTTTGGGTTACAATCAAGCTTACTAGTTCCTGTGGAGTAGGGTTATTGGGTGTAGCCATTGGGGTATCCCTCCAGTGTGCCTATCTAAGGGACTGCAAAAGTGTATGGATGGTTCCATTTATGTGACAGCCAGGTATAGGGATGCTATAACCAGATGTCTGTGATTGGTACCTGGATAGAAGTGTGAGAGACAAAGTAAAAGCAAGAGGAGTCAAGGAAAAATAACCGTTGAGTAAATTGGGGTGACAAGGGGTTTAGGGTCTCCACTCTTGTAGACTTTCAGGCTTTGGGCAGGTAAATGGAATTACATTGTCACAGGACTATCTGAGGGTGGATTGACTGCAAATAGGAGATGAAATTAAAAGAGCAGCTAATTATACAAGGTCCAAAGAGCAATAGAATCACTATTAAGAGTATAATAAATAGAACGTGTTTTTACCATAGAAATCCAGAAATCCAGTTCTAAAGCTGTTTACCAATAGGATGGCGGCACTTGATGAGGTTTTATAGATCTTGTAAACAAAGGAGACATTAGCAGAATTATAGGGCGTATATAAACAGCATTTTGTTCATAGTTACAAAGAACATGAGAGTCTGTAATCTTATAACAGCTGGTAAAGCCGTGATTGTTCTACCTGGCATGTCAGTCACCCATACTCAGGACGGGTAACTAAGTGTGTGTGTTAGATCAGTTGAGGGTTGATTCTCAGATGTCATTTGAACTTGGGCGGAACCTTTTGCTCCTTTAGTTTTCTTTTCCTTCCTTCCTTCCTTCCTTCCTTCCTTCCTTCCTTCCTCTTCCCTTCCTTCCTCCCTTCCTTTTTTTTTTTTTTTTTTTTTTTTTTTTTTTGAGGCTATGAGTCAAGGCCTTGCTGTTGGCTGAGTGGCTTCCTTTGAGGACATTTCTTTAAGTGTTGGCTCTCCTCTTTGCAGAATGTACACTGATTAGAGTTGTCTGGGTCTCCTTTCTCATCAAGAAGGCAGGTGTCTCTCCAGAGCTGCAGGACTCCTTGAAAGGTAACCCACAGTCCCCTAGGACCTTGACCTTGAGGGGCAAGTCTCAAAATATCAATCCTCTTGATCCCTATGTCCAGATTAGCATTAGTCTCCAAGTATAATTATTGAATACCAAGAAGGAAGGTAGTTATACCAGTGTTGAAGAACAAGTCATGCTCTAAAATTCTGCTGTATAAAACTTAGAAATAAAACTTGACAGAGACAGAGTTTTAAAATCTCACTTTAAGACTCAGTTTCTTTATTATACGTCTAAGATACTTAGTAGACACTATAAGCGATTATTTTGAAAGAAAAGAAAGCACAGACCTAAGTCATTTTAAAAAAGATCTTTAGTGGGGCTGGAGAGATGGCTCAGTGGTTAAGAGCACTGACTGCTCTAGCAGAGGACCTGGGTTCGATTCCCAGCACCCACATGGCGGCTATGAATCGTCCTTAACTCCAGTTCCAGGGGAATCCGAAGCCCTCTTCTGACATCCGCAGCATTGCACAACACAGGTGCACTCACATACATGCAGGCAATACACTCATACACATAAAATAAAAATAATAAAATATTTTTTAAAAAAGACCTTTAGGAATAGCAGATCCTGGAGGATCATCTCCCTATGAGGGCAAATGTCCATGAGGTTGGAGTTGAACCCTGATGCTACCTACGTCCTAGGGTACTGAAAGCCAATCTATTTTTCAAGCAATAATGATTTCATTTAAACCACTTATACAATCAGAATTGAAACAACGATTAACTAAAT